GGGATGCATATTATTTTTAAGATCATAACTAGCAGCTGCATCAATTTTTTGTACTAAGTTAACGATTGATTCATCATCTATGTGATTTTGACTATTAGATGTTTCCTCTGTACCTTCTGTTTTCCTTTTAAGATGTTTATCTGATACACTATCGATTATTTCTCTAGATTCATTAATTTCATCCGATTCACATAAATCCATTTTATGATCATTATTTTTCTCTTGATTAGATTTCTTTTTAGGTCTAGATAATCCTAATTTCAGTGGTAGCTTTTTTCTTTTCCTCACTTTCTTTACATCTAAAAAGTAAAAAAAGAAATCATCTCGACATTATTAATTTGCTTTGATCGTCAGAGCGTTCATCTTGGTTTATAAACGCTTACCGGGAGTACATTTAAATCTTATAGCAGATTCTTTTTTACTATAACCCGCGACCTCGTTAGTTTGTATACAAAAAGCTTCTCTTTACAATAAGGGTTTATTGCTGTTCCCTTGTCAGTAAGCCCAGATAAGGGAAAAAATTCAAAATTACTTACGGTTATCATCACAAGTGCCATCTAATTGCGGAATATTTGCCCCTTCCCAAAACGAGTCATGCCAAGAAGGTGAGCTTTCTTCTACGTGGCCATCACTATTAATACATATTTAAATAGAATTTTATACGATACTTCTACAATTAAACACAAACTGCAATACCCATTACACCATTACCTTTTTTGACATACCATTTGTTCTCTAACAGAATAGTTTCATCATTAAACACTTGTGAATACTCAGCATCGTCTAAATCTGCTTCAGTTTTATCATCATGTGGTGTTGCCATAATACTGTCTTTATCTATTGTTGATTTTTCATCCATTTCTTGTAGTAGACCAACTAGCTCTAAATCCTCACTATCCACTGGAAATTAAATATATACTTTTTAACAGCTTGAAGCTTCTCATCACAAATAACACAAACATTCTGTGAATATTTCTGTTGCCTTAGCTGAATAGATTAGATAGTAATATTGTTATTGAGTTTTGCGCGAGAATCTCTTGTCATCGTTTCAGCATTTTAACCTTTGCGTTTTATAATAAAAATACCAACTATAGAATTTTGATGGAAAATTTCAGTATTAAAAGTTCTTTTAATAAAAAATATGACTGGTTTGAAATACCATTCCATTAAAATCTTGACTTAAATCGATTTCATAAGTTTCATAAGTTAGAAAGATAGGTATTAGAAATGTGGTTTATGGCCGATTCAGGGGAGGTACACTCGATGATATAAAAGAGCATTCAACTAAAACTCATATTCTTAAAATACTTACATGCAACTTGGCTATAGTGGACTGAAAAACTACTATTTAAAGCAATGTCTTCATCAACAATTGTGTCATCAATATCCATGATTATACTTTGCCTTCTGCTTTTAGACATACTCAGGCTCAAGCTTTCCTGTAGATGGGTACTGATGTCTGTTGCATTAAAAAACTGGGAGCCATCAAGAGTTTCCGCTGGATAATGCACTTTTTCCTTTTCAACTTGTTCAATGGGTGTATCTAGTAAACTGTTGATCTTTGCAAGAAATCCATTTTGATATTTATGATGTGATTCTGTGCCTTCATTCAATCGATTTTGAGATAAAGATTTAGATGATATGGATACATTAAGCTGTTGCCTCCTTACTAGTTCTTGGTTCCAAACCTCTTCCAAGCCAGGATTTTCAATACCATCCATTTTTCCCACCCTTAATCTATTGATAATATGAGATGCAAAGCAATCTGCTTCATAGTGGCATATGCTTTCTGGTTTAAGAGAAAATTCATCAGAACTCTCCAGTAACTCCTCACTTTCTTGTGAAGAAACAGATTTCCGGAATCGAACAGATTGTAATTCAATATTGCTCATGCCAAATAAGTTGAAATCAATAAAAAATTGCAAGGTAAAATTCAAATGAGATTCATAAGGCTGCAATACTTGTCCTAATATTGCTCCATTACTGCAAAGTTCAACAGCTTGCTTGATTAGGCCTGGATTGTATAAGAATATTTTGAGAAAAAGATGTTCCTTATCATGAAAGCCGTAAAAGGGTCTGCAACAGAATTTAAAGCAAAATAAATGCATTTTTGCTATCACTTATACAAATGAAACTAATACTCACAATCCTTTGACTAATGATATCTTATAAACATGCTGGTTTACTGAATTTGCTTGTTTCAAAGCTATATTTAAAGCCTTATCTAGACTTACTGCAATCTGGAAGAATACATTTTTATTAAAAACTATTACTACTTAGCCAGTATGTTACATCAATAATATTGAATTTGCTATAACTTATAGATAAATTATGATAGTTTTCATTTAGACAGCACTTTTTTTCTACAATACATTAATAAAATGTTTTAAACTTTTCTTACTTATTTGAATTGAATAAAAAGTACATTTTTTCATTTATAATAGACTTTACTTGATATAATAATTGTGGTTCTGGGTTTGATGTTGGGCATGGTATGTAGAAATAAGGAAATACTCCATGTACATGAAGACATGATTTTCTTCCATCTAATGCAGATCCAAATATTCTCAATACTGGTACCTAAAATTGGAATCCATTAAAATTATTGTGTATGTTTGAATTAATTGGAGGTGGACGAAATTTTTGTTAAAATTTCGCGCAAAATTTACATCTGTTTTTATATTGTTAATTACAAATTAAAAGTATTTAGTCACTTAATTTTTCATAAGGCAAAATATTTAGATTTTTATTAAATATCTTTAATATAAATAATTTAAAAAAAAAGTCGAATTGAAACTTACTTGTTTGACATCACTACCTCTAAACTCGGAATATATGACATCTATACCGTGTGTTGGCTTTGTTAAGTATGAATCACAAACAACTATCCGAACTGAAAACTCTGGCTTTAAATCAAGACTTCCTGTAATCATTTAAAAATCATAAATAAAATACTTTTTACATTAATTGCTACGACTCCCTACTAGTTAAAGGTATTAATAGAGTATGTTTACCTGTTTGGTTATTTATGTCTAATCTCATAGTTTTATCTTTCGTATCACTTTGTATGTTTTTAGTGCCTTCCAGCATTATTAATAAATCGTTTAGTTTAACTATTTCTAAGGAAAGAAGGTGAATTAAGTTTATATATTACTTATGCTGTTCTTGTGTGTGAAAATATTTAACAATTTCTCTGCTACAAACAACATGTTAGTTCTTTCTTATATTTAAAATTTCAAGTAAGATTAATACAAAGCTTTCGTGCGCTTTGTTAGATTAATAAAAGTTCTGGTAAGTTATTCCGTCGTATTAAATTTTCATTGTTATAAATTTGTTATTTTGTTCACAATTGTTTTGAAATTTGATAGAACGACTTATTTGAAAATCACAGCCCAATAACAGTCTACAGAGTATATATAAATCTCATTACAAAATACAAATTGACAAATTATAGTACCAAGTCCTGTTGAATAGAGTCTTACAGTCTCTGAATTTTTACTAGTTTATTACACATAAGGTGCTTAAATTTATTCACTTGGCTTGTTTAATCGTTTTACGGCCGCTTTCTATACTCAATCCCAATCGAATTATTACTACTAGTTATAGATATTTTAATCCTTTTCTCATAAAGGGCTCCCACACAAAACTGCGAATTCGCATCGCATCGCAAATATTTGCGAATTCGCACGAACGCAACGCAAGAATTTCCGATCTGCTTCGCATCGCACATTCCTGCGATTTTACGTCATCCTTGGTGACACCATTTTAGTCCGCTCTGAGACAAACAATTAAAATGTCAATAAATAAATTTTGTTTTACTTTACCTGATAGTCAGTCCCAGCATTTCCAAAGGCATAACAGGAATTCTTCCCTTGTACGATCGTTTTTGAAGGCATGGTGATAATATACTCAAAAGCTCTTCAAATGAAGATATGCTCATTCTAAAATAATCAAAAAATTTATCTTCAGTTCTCAACGCATAGTACTTTTGAATAAAATAGTTCCCATCAGAGTTCATAATCGTAATGAATGGATGAACCCAGAATCTTCTTTTTCTTTTATATCTATTTAACAATAACAGCAGTGCAATAATCTTTTTGCGATCCATCTTACGCTTCTTAAAAACACGTTCAGTACGGCTGGCTTCGAAGGAATGGTCGCCCTACCAAACGGTTTGACGCACTAAATCGTATCGCAGAAATTCGCATCGCAAATTCCTGCGATGCGAATTCGCATCGCATCGCATCGCAGTTTTGTGTGGAAGTCCAAACTACTTTTCATTAACCGATCGATGGATTGATAGTCGATAGTCAATCTGTTTTCGACCTTTGTAAACCATCTTTGGGTTGATCGATCGGTATTTTTGGATTGATATTTGTTTGAAAATGACAGATCGACGCTTTCTATAAAATATCTTTGAATTCGACAGATCGAATTTTGTAATTTATCAATCTAAATTTGCGATGTATCATGATGTAAATTGGCTAATGTCTTTTTGTTTTGGTCTAAAGGTCTAGATACCAGGCCATAAACTCCAAAAAAAAAAAAATGTCTTTTGTTAAAATCTGTGGTCGACAGCTCGATACACAGAATATGAAGGCTTTAATCATTTACAATGACAGTGAGTACTTTATTACCTCAGATGATCTATTTATATGTCATACTGCATACTTGACACTTATTGAATTGTTACTTTAATTGACTTTAATATTTTGCCTTCAGGGCTCAGCTCAGGCTCAGGCTTCAATCACTTCAATGATCAATCTTCGTAGCAAACAGTTTTCAATTATTTTTGAGAGTTGTGACCAAAAAAATTCAAATCGTCTCGTGTAATATTTTAAAGTGCAAAATTTATTATTTAAATTTATGTTGGATTTAAAATAAAATCATTGTATAGGTGGTGAAACTTAGTGAAGTGATTTATACCCGTGAAAAATGTAAAAAAGATGAGTCCCATTTTACAAGCATATAAAAATAAATAAAAAATACCGTTGGGGGTGATGGATGATGAGGAGGCAGATTTGCGTGAACAAATATTTCACAACAATGTTAGGGAGCAAATCGTAAGTTTTTTTTTTGTTTGACCTAACTTCTATGTTGTTTAAAATATTTACAATGAAATTCTTTTGTTTTAGATATTCCTCCTTCTATTCATTTTGTTGTACCTTTTCTCGTTCATGTTAATCGAGAAATTTAGGCGACGAGACAGTGAAGATTACTTTACAGCAGATGAAGATGAGGTCAAGGTTTACCGAATCAGCTTGTGGCTCTGTACCTTTGCATTAGCTGTATCATTGGGATCAGCACTCCTGCTGCCAGTCTCAATAGTCAGCAATGAAGTGCTCATTTTGTATCCAAATAGTTATTATGTTAAATGGCTAAATAGCTCACTAATACAGGGTAAGAAAATCATGGTTTTATTCATAATAAAATTTAAAAATCATTTTAAATTTAGAATTTTAAATTTCATTTTTTTTCCACAATAATAATTACTGTACATGTTTGTGGTACTATTAATCTGTAAAAGTAATAATAATGTTTTTTTGTTTTAGGTTTATGGAACCATGTGTTTCTCTTTTCAAATCTGTCATTGTTTGTGTTCCTTCCATTTGCCTACTTATTTTCTGAATCTACTGGATTTCCTGGATGTCGTGGTTTAAGAGGCAGAGTATATGAGACATTTATAGTCTTGTTCCTTCTTGGGATTGGTATGCTTGGACTAGCATATGTAATCTCTGCCTGGTTAAAAGGTGATCGATCCGGAATAGATGCATTACTCAGTAAGTTTTATTATGTTTTTGGGAATAAACATAACTATATTATGGGGGTTCAAGGTTCATGTTAACGAACGGCTGTATAAAATGCAACAATATAATTGGTCTATTTGGGATATGTCTATTGCGATATAATTTGCAATATTTTACACGATGAATCTGGATAAAAGAGGAAGACTTATTCGAATAATATTCTTAATTAGTAATTGTTCCATTTTATGTTTTGCTCTAAAGCAAGATAAAATGGCATAAAATAGTATTATACTATTGTAACTAATAATTTTTTTTTAAATAATCTATCAGAGCTATTAAATATATAATTTAAAATGTAATCTTTAAAATATTTTTTTTTAGAAACGGTACAGAACAAATTGTTAAAATTTCACCACCATTTAATTCTAGGTTATTGGGCTATCTGTTATATTTGTATCTGTAATATATGTATTGAATAGGGAGCTAGTGTATTCATGCCATACATTATAGAATCCATTGTTTTGGTCAATGCCATGCTAGGTGCGTCTGCGATGCGTCGTTGGTCACGAATTCTGTACATTAGTGTATAAATATTTATATTATTGACTTTATATTATGTTAATCCATACACAACTAGTTACTGAGTAAGGTACTTTAGTATTGTTTTGTATACATTTTAATCTAAGATCACTCCAACTATGACGATAAAATTTTATTAGAATTTGCAAAAGTTATTTCTTTGTAACTCTATTCAATATAAGGTACAAAATATTAATTTATTTATTGCATTGATTGAGTTGCCATAACCTATAGATACTTGTTTATTATTTAGCCTTTCACTTACTAAAGGTATCCAATTACAAGTAATTTGATAAGTATTCCTAAGGCCCTGTATAACTAGCTTGTGTGTAAGACCTTTAAAGGGAATCAAGTTTTAGTTATTTCTAATATGTTTTACCATTTTGGAGGGAAAGTGTAAAACGGAGACTCTTAGTTTGGAGACTTATAGTTTTGAGATAAACAAGATATGATTACGGCCGCAGTCATTGAATTGCTCGCCGCTTAAGATCAACTTCAACCAATTGCATGTTTTCGATAGTATTGCAAGATATATGATAAAATTGTATATTTACTATAACTATTGAATTATTTGTATCGGAAAAAACTAATTGTGACGAAACATATAACTATGCAACGCCTATAGTGTTTATGGAGACTCTATAATATGTCAGTGAATATTAACTTGTGTTGGATATTTGGGTAAAATCATTCCTTCTGTTACAGATTTATGGACATACCTTCCGTTCTTGTATTCCTGTGTGTCATTCGTCGGCGTATTGATGTTGTTAGGTGAGTGTTTACAAAAATTATATAATTAAAATATTTTCACCAATGTTTTAGCGGGCGGGATGAGACATCATAAATTTGTGTTTTCGCGTCAATTCCCAATATGTGAGAAGTTAAAATATTTTTGATGGATATAATTTATCTAAAAGTAAACATAGTATTTTCATCATATTCCTATATCTTATCTATTAAAAAATAATTATAAGATATGTAAAGGATATGTGTATCGTGTTACTATCTGTGATAATGGTATATTGGTTGCTATGAGATATTAACAGATGGCGTATTGAATGAAAATCAACATATATTTAAAAATAGTTATCACAACATTATATATCCTGCGATTCATCTTCAAACATTCCCTCCTCTTTATTCAGAAAATATTTAATGAGGTCGTCATGTTGTGGGAATATTTCGTACAGTTCTTTTTTACATTCTTCCAGTTTGTCAAACTCTTCTAACTCCTTGTGCGCTTTTGCCTTGTACAAGCGAGCTTTAAAGCTCTTTTCATTGAGTCGCAGTGCCCATTCACAGTCATTAAAGACCTACAAAATTGTCAGAGCTTAAATTGCTTTACGCAACACAAATGAAAGTCTGAAAAGTTTTTTTTATCGCTTGGCTTTCATGAGCAAGACATTTCGTAGAACTTTTATCTGTGTGGCGTAAATAAAATCGCCTTTAAAATTGAGTTTTTAAGTAATAATCAAACAGTCATCAGTGATGCAGTGCTTTAACTATTTACTAACAATGATTCGAATCCTTCCATATTAAAACATGCAATGCGAAGACTAATTGAGCTACGAAAATATTAGTTTCATCATTCTTGGGATAAAGAATTGGAATCACCCAGCCATACATAATTGCCAAAACTTGTTAGTGAATATAAAAAGACAATTTATGTTCACGATTGACGCGCACACATGCTATATTTATTATTGCTACTCGTAGTTTGTGCTCGTAAAACAATAGCGATTTGAAATAGTCGATTTGGACGCAACTCAATATTGAGGTTATCTTATATAAACAACTGCTCTTACCATTATTCAATTGATCATTTAAACCGTAAATCCTAAGTTCCCAATAGTCAGTAAATCAGACGTAGCGATGTTTCTGTTAACTGCCATAAAGCATAGTTCAACCCCAATATCTGATATCTAAATATTTTAATAGTTATTTATCTAATCAATGTTAATGATATGTAATGTAAATATCGAAGGGTTAATGTGTATTTTTTTCATTTCCCTCTCAAAATTTAATGTGATTTTTGAAATTTTTACGTGCACTAAATGTGGCCATTCAGCCATCAACCAAGCACGGTGCACTTCGATGAAATTATTATCTTCATAGAAAGTTCGTAGATTGCTTATGCGAATTGCGGGTTAGAATAAATCTAACGCGTTTCCACCATTATCGCCTCGAAACCAGTCGAATGCATGTCGGTGAAGGTCATTGACCTACCTTCTGATAGTTTCCAAGTTTGATGTTCGTCAATGCTCGGTCGCAGTAAAACATTGGATTGTCTTTGACCTGTTCTATAGCTTTGTTGTAGCAAGACAGAGCCTTTTCGTATTCTTGCCGACGGAATGCTTTGATTGCTTGTGTCTTTAATGTATCAGCTTTTTCGTGACGAATTTTCCGGTCCAACGCCCGCCGTTCTGCATCTTTGCTCACTTCGGCCATCCATGCATCCTTGTCGAGTTCACCCTGGAATTACAGACACATGTATTTGATTTAACTTCTATTCTATACTGGCATAACACCAGCCACATTATGCTACGAAGCAGAGCCAGAATTAAATTATTTATTTGGGAGCGAGGCTGTACAGTAATTTTCAGAATTCTCAGTATGATGACGCTTAATAGATAAACGTTAAAATTACTGCAATTTATGTCGAAGTAATTAACAATAAATTGGTTCTTTGTACCAGATTTTAGACATAACGGAACATCTAGATTCTACAAAACAATAATTTGATAAGCTAAAACAAGACAGTAAAAACTTTGAGTGGTCTCGAATAGAAATGATAGATATTTATAGCGGTACACGAGCCAAATTGCTTTCACCATTGGAATATCTTTGCTATTTACGTACAATGCAATTACTTAACATTGTTCTATAAATACAGCAGCCGGTATTTTTGTTAATGCTCGTGTAATTAGAACAATGAGAAATTCGCAAGGTGTTATCATAGTATCAATCAAGTGGAAATAAATGCGTTAGTTTAAACTTTATATGAATTCAGCAATTATTAACTTTTTTATCGCTACGGTTAATTTTAATGCAGTAAAGGTACTTAGGGCTAAAGATAAGCGTATGAGTTGAATACGTTGTGTAACTTATGATAACCCAATTTAAATATGTTTAATTGAATTTTTGTTACTTCAGTTTTACTTGTACAATTCATTTCAAATTAGCTACAATAATGGACAAAGAGTCTCCTTACAGCCTAAGCTCAGCTGATTTATCATTCTTTATGAATCAGCATTCTGATTTAACATTCTTTATGCCATAGTTATCATCTAATTACGACGGTAAACTTAAACTTAACATATATTCTTCCTTTAATAGCTTGATATAATTTATGAGTTGTTTTAAGAGTGTAAAATTTATCTTGTGTAACAATAATTTAGACAAATAAGCATACCGTGTCATTTTTCTCGAGAGATTTAAAAGCCTTCTGGTTTATCACAGTTCGATCATGTTTGACTGTCATTTTCACATCGTCAACATTGATATCTTTGCCTTCTAGATAGCGATCAGCCAGAATCTTGGCCGCGTCTGCTTTGTCCTTGTCACCACCGGCGAGATCTTTTACCAGACCTGACACTTCTCCAATTCTTTTCATGAAGTTCGTCCATTCTTCATTCAGCTCCATATCTTTGTGATCTTTTAGTGCGGGATTCTTAAAAGAGCGACTCATTTTCGTAAATGTAGAAATCTCTAAATCAATTTGCTGTCGTATTGATGTTACGTACATAGTTACTGTTGCCAAGCCTACGATTACGTTGTTATTAATGAGGTTTTAATTTATGTCTTGTTTTCTTATATGTGTTACGTAGAATTGTAAAGCCATTAAAAATAATCAACGGTTTAAATTAAGGCTTTAGAGCGAGCTTTATTCACAAACCTTTAATCCAAAAGTTATTAGTACAACTCAGAATTTCTTATCACATGTCTCCCTAGGGTCTTAAAGGACGTATGTATGGTTAAAGACTACAATTTACCAACTAGAGAATTACAAATTACTTCGGAGAATAGTTAAAAACAAGAAGAGAGATGCTTTTTGTATTGGAAAGTTAAAAGCTAGGTGAAAGCAAAACTATCCAGATATAATTAGTAATCCAAACATCTAAACGATATGAAATGTAAGGTATGAATCCCAACACAGATGTAAGATGGGATTGTTGGCAGTAGAACATAGCCCATAAGCTCCTATAGTTGTGTCTATAAGACGGTAATTGGTAAATACATTTACCATTAAGCTTGTTATTTTTAAATTATTAAAACAATGCATCGGATATTTTAAACAATCGCGAGAACTCTCTAGTTAAACAATGAACTGGAGAAAACTGAAAACAATAAACACGTAAGAAATAACGTAACCTAAAGGTGACTAAAGAAAAAGTCTATTTGAATATGGCGGAAATAGTTTTAGACATAAAGGTGTGATTTAAATATTATGTTAAATTTGTACGTGTTTACTTAAAGTAAACGGTAGGTTTTTAGATATATTTGCGCACAATTTAAAAAATATATTTTAAAAATTCTGCGCCTCACTTTGTATAGAAATGTGAATCTTACTGTGCAGTGCTGCTGTCTGGAACTAGTAGTTTCAGCGATTTCAACACATTTACAAACTTTATAATATTAATGTAGAACACATCAATAATGGCAGTGAAAAATTGTGGATGTGTGTGTGGGATTTTAGTTACTAAAATCACTTTAGTTTTACGTCCAACAATGCTGATTGCGCCTAAATAAGCCTATTTCTTCTGGTTAGCCTTGACTTGAACAAATACTTATCCTATTAGAAACGTCGTACATTGGATAAGCCCAAGATTAATCAAATCGATACTTCAGTACCGAAAGGTGTCAGTAACCTGAGCTTGATTTTAACTCTTAACACAAAAATAGGGGTGTTACCGGGTCTGTGTTTTTTGTGTACGTTTTCGAGACTCCTAAACTAGTTTTGATGGTTTTTTATTAGACTTGACTCGAAACTCCATTTTACCATAAGTTTTATAAAAGAGCAGTGTTGGCCGTGTGGTTTCGGCTTGCGATTCTTATCATATTTATATTTATAACATGATTCCTAGTGAAATATTGGAACTGCCTTTAAACAGATTCAAAACTCATATCAAAAAAACCTTAATGTGTAAAGGTTACCACACAGTCAATGACTACCTGGAAGATAAAAACGTTTGGCAATAGTTGTAATTATATTCTTATAATTTGATTTGTGTGTAATGGTGAATGTGGTAAATCACAACAGATTTTTATATTTTTTTTACTTATGTAACCTGACGTTGTGGTTTATGACATTTTCCTTTGAATAATTGTAATGTAGAGGGAGGGTAAAACTTGCTGAGTTTCTTGCCCGTTCTTCTCAGAACAAACGAGGTAGTTTTGCGAACGGATGGCGTAGTCTTGCTCTTTCGCGAATTTTGTAAACGTTTTTGACATTCATAAGCATGCGCTAAGACGCATCTAAATTAAATAAACGTATTTTGAGTTGATATCCCTGAGTTCGATCCTCGGATGCACCAATGGACTTTCTAAGTGCGCATTTAACACATATGGTAAAGGAACATATCGTGAGGAATCTAACCTTAGACCCAAAAAGTCGATGGCGTGTGTGAATTTGTGAAATCTAAGACTCAAATTAAAGCGTCTCGGTTTTCTTATGAAAATGGAAAATGCTGAATATTTTATAGGTTATTACATTATTTTTCGTGTCTATCATATTAAAACGATTGCAGTGTTTACGCCACTGGGTTTCGTGAGATTGTTCGGTGTAGTTGGAGCCGTTCTGGTGAAGCCACAGTTCCTGAGGGATCTCAACGAAGAATATTATGTCTACTCGCTCGAAGAGGCCACTATACGAAGGCGAATTGATAACTCCGCTGCCACAGGTATGTTAAATGCTAATCTCTTTCTAAACGTGTGTTTTCACCAATGAATATGTTTGATACAAAGGCGTCCTATCAGACGTAAGAAATGATGGAAATTGGCGAATTGTCAAGTGCCTGGGTTTTAAATTAAAAACTATTATCACACTAAGGGGTGGGAATTTGAAACGAAAGACGTAAAACGTTGCGTTCTATTGTGATTAGTGAAATAGACGTAATGTGTATCATGTCGCGGATCAAGTCATGTTGGAGTAGAGATGCAGTTCAACAATCAGAATCAAACGGAACGCACAATTCGTTTTTTTTTTACATTTTCACCCCCAAGGACATTTTAGTGAAAGGTCAAACGGGTTCATGTGATGATGATGATGGATAATCAGAGTCGAAGCACAAAGTAAAGCGCCAGAAGCTAGAAGGTTAAAACTCGATTATCTTTAAGAATTGTCATATTATTTCCGATGATACCGGTAGAAGTTGGCTTAGTAATAATCTTAAAACAATAACAAGATATTAAAATAATTGTTAATCGTAAACAGTTTTAATGTATTATTAACGTGTCATAATGCTCGAGAAAATCTGACTTAAAAGTGTAAAAAGGCAAAACTAAATATATTAAAACGAAGTAATAAAAGTAAACTTTTTATTGTCTTGCATCATTGTACGACGGGTTTTTAATATTAAATTCTATTTTTTGTACGCATTTACGTATACACGAACATCATAGTTTTTGTTGAATGACGCTTCCTGTATAGACAATGGTTTTACGAAATTTTTGCGAAACTTTGTTTTAAATATATTTGCGACAAAAAGCTGTATCAAGGTAACAATAATAGTTTTAATAAAAACACTAAAGGATATTGTTACTTATGTTTACAAGTTCTGTTCGAAGTAATCTCAGGAACTATTATATCTATGTACCTATGTATAGTTCTTTGGAAATTTTTCTAGTAGAAATTAAGTGTTAAACAACATATACTTTTTATTTCCATATAAAAGGCGTGTATTTGTATAAATTTTTGTCTGACAACCATGAAGATGACATGACCCCTTCTGAGAGTCTATTATTACAGACATTACAATTACCGGGATATAGGGAAGTTTTGGATGGTAATAATACCGCATAATTATGCCCCATATATAGATTTATCTTAGATTCAATTTTAAAAAAATACGTTTTATATTTTAACATAATAATGATTAAACAATGAAACGCGAAACAAATGCTTTATAACAACTGACGTGGACTAATGAAAGATATACAAGTATCACATTGAAAGTCAATATTAACATATAGTAATATGGTACAGTTATTTCGTCATAAATCACATTTCTTTTAAATTTATACAAGGTCATAGACACGCAGTTGGAGTATTACGATCCATCAAAGAGTATTATTGATTTGTAGTCGTATGTGTATAATTATTTGTATTTTCTTTAATCCTATATGGTTAAACATAATGCGTTTGAACTACATTTCACTTGTTTACTTAACTAATAATATTAACATTGTAGTAATTGAATAAAAATAATAAAAAAATAATTGCTAGAAACTTTCACGGAATAGATAAGCAACTAGAATGTGTATACTCTAATATACCTATCTTGGTTTTGTAATACCAATATCGTTCGGTTAGTATACCTTCATTTAGGGGGGGGGGGGGGGGGGGGGGGGGGGGGGGGGGGGGGGGGGGGGGGGGGGGGGGGGGGGGGGGGGGGGGGGGGGGGGGGGGGGGGGGGGGGGGGGGGGGGGGGGGGGGGGGGGGGGGGGGGGGGGGGGGGGGGGGGGGGGGGGGGGGGGGGGGGGGGGGGGGGGGGGGGGGGGGGGGGGGGGGGGGGGGGGGGGGGGGGGGGGGGGGGGGGGGGGGGGGGGGGGGGGGGGGGGGGGGGGGGGGGGGGGGGGGGGGGGGGGGGGGGGGGGGGGGGGGGGAAGAAAAGAAAGGGGGGGGGGGGGGGGGGGGAGGGGGGGGGGGGGGGGGGGGGGGGGGGGGGGGGGGGGGGGGGGGGGGGGGGGGGGGGGGGGGGGGGGGGGGGGGGGGGGGGGGGGGGGGGGGGGGGGGGGGGGGGGGGGGGGGGGGGGGGGGGGGGGGGGGGGGGGGGGGGGGGGGGGGGGGGGGGGGGGGGGGGGGGGGGGGGGGGGGGGGGGGGGGGGGGGGGGGGGGCGGGGGGGGGGGGGGGGGGAGAGGGAAAAAAGAAAAAGGGGGGGGGGGGGGGGGGGGGGGGGGGGGGGGGGGGGGGGGGGGGGGGGGGGGGGGGGGGGGGGGGGGGGGGGGAGGGGGGGAAGGAGGGGGGGGGGGGGGGGGGGGGGGGGGGGGGGGGGGGGGGGGGGGGGGGGGGGGGGGGGGGGGGGGGGGGGGGGGGGGGGGGGGGGGGGGGGGGGGGGGGGGGGGGGGGGGGGGGGGGGGGGGGGGGGGGGGGGGGGGGGGGGGGGGGGGGGGGGGGGGGGGGGGGGGGGGGGGGGGGGGGGGGGGGGGGGGGGGGGGGGGGGAAAGAAAAAAAAGGGGGGGGGGGGGGGGGGGGGTTAGGGGGGGGTGGGGGGGGGGGGGGGGGGGGGGGGGGGGGGGGGGGGGGGGGGGGGGGGGGGGGGGGGGGGGGGGGGGGGGGGGGGGGGGGGGGGGGGGGGGGGGGGGGGGGGGGGGGGGGGGGGGGGGGGGGGGGGGGGGGGGGGGGGGGGGGGGGGGGGGGGGGGGGGGGGGAAAAGGGGGGGGGGGGGGGGGGGGGGGGGGGGGGGGGGGGGGGGGGGGGGGGGGGGGGGGGGGGGGGGGGGGGGGGGGGGGGGGGGGGGGGGGGGGGGGGGGGCCCCACAAAAAAAAAAGGGGGGGGGGGGGGGGGGGGGGGGGGGGGGGGGGGGGGGGGGGGGGGGGGGGGGCGCGCGGGGGGGGGGGGGGGGGGGGGGGGGGGGGGGGGGGGGGGGGGGGGGGGGGGGGGGGGGGGGGGGGGGGGGCGCCCCCCCCCCCCCCCCCCCCCCCCGGGGGGGGGGGGGGGGGGGGGGGGGGGGGGGGGGGGGGGGGAACAACCACCCCCCCCCCCAAAAAAAAAAAAAAAAAAGGGAAGGGGGGGGGGGAAAAAAAAAAAAAAAAAAAAAAAAAAAAAGGGGGGGGGGGGGGGGGGGGGGGGGGGGGGGGGAAGGGGAAAAAAGGAAAAAAAAAAAAAAAAAATATGACCCGCCCCCCAAAAAAAAAAAAGGGGGGGGGGGGGGGGGGGGGGGGGGGGGGGGGGGTGGGGGTTGGGGGGTGTGTTGAGGGGGAAAAAAAAAAAAAAAAAAGAGGGGGGGGGGAAAAAAAGGGGGGGGGGGGGGGGGCCGGCCCGCCAACAAGGGCGAACCCATTTTTTTAAGGGGGGGGAAGCGCAAACGGGGAGGGGGGGGGAAAGGTTCGTGCGGGTCGGCCAAATTTTAAGGAAGGAAGGTTACGATAGCAAAAGGTTTGAAACAACCCGCCCTTAATATCATATTTTAATCGCATAGCAAGTTTAATGGAGAGTGGTACCGTGTCTATTCATATTTCTCCTTTTCTTCCTAAATGCTTTATTATATTAAATACTAGCTGCCTCCGCGAACTTCGTTTCTCCTTAATGTGATTTTACTTAGCCTACCTTTTTAGTACATAGCAACATGGAACATTTTGCTAAGCTACCACAGAGACTGTTCGGTTTTCTGGAATGAAAACTTTTTAGGTTTTTCAGTGAATTGTCTCTATATAAACCTCAGAGTTCAAGTTATAAGTTCTTAACTAACAAATAAAAATAGGAGTTGATCGTAGAGGGTAGATTGAAATTAAGGGTTGTATGTATTTTTGTATGCTCTATCATAAAAAAATAAAAACAAATAAATTGTCTAAAAAAAAACACCTATCTCTTAGGGGTTTGAAAAATAAATATATAGTAGATATCGATTCTCAGACTTACTGAATATGCATAAAAAAATTCATAAGAGTTGGGCGAGCTGTTTCGGAGGAGTATGGGAACGAACATTGTGACATGAGAATTTTATATACAATTAAATATATCATTTTATAAATGATGCTTGGCAATACAAAAAGTCCCCTCGTTAGTTGTGTGCTGCGATACTGCGGCCTCGATCGATACTAGATTGTGAGGAAGTTGATCCTAGATCTGGTTAGCGCTGCGCCTTCTCTAAGTTCTCATGTTATTTTCACTCAATATCCTTTCTATACCATATTTTCATAAGTATCTGATTGTTCTCATTTGAACAGATGTTTGAGAGAAAAAAGTAAAATAAAATACAAAAACGTCTATTATATCTACATTTAACTAGATGTTTTACGCTAGTCGATTATAATGATTTCTCATATTTAAATCGTCCCACTGATTCAGAAACAGATCCCATACATCTTATAAACAAAGATGTAACTTTACATGAATTTCCTCAATAAATTTCAGTAGGATCTAATCTACAATCTAATTAGTCAATACATACAACTTCCGTATATAATTTGGTAGACCTTCATACAATTCGACCTTCGTGATGCTTGACTTATCCGTGTGTACCTGTGTAGATAGGAACCATTTGTGTATTAAGAACATTTGTATATAAAAACATTGTTTAATACTGTACAGATAAGAGCGTCAGCAAATAGCGTTTATTCAGAAGTACTACGCATTTCAATATATGTTTATAACAATGTACAGTGTACACTGAAGAATGTTGGTCTACTGGCTTGGCGTGTGCCTCTTCCCTAAGTTCCTGTCACTTATGTTCGAATTACGGCTGTGTACCAATGGACTACGAATATGTGCGCAATTAACCACTCACTGGTACGTAAAGGAACACATCGTGAAGCACTTGTAAAGCCTCTGGTTCTTTTGTACACTATTGCTTCGACTAAGTTTAAAATGAATGACTTAAATAATGAGGGCCTTATCGCGAACAAGCGACGCACTTAGTCTTCAATCATCAATAATGTACCATAAATATATGCAGCTATAAATAAATCGTGTCTATGGAATAAAACATTTCCAACAGAGTCTCTATGCGACCCTAACTGCTTTATTACATATGTTATTTGAATAATTTTATTTATGCGTTTTGTTAGACGCACTCTCAGTCCTGAGGTCGTGTTTTCGAAGCCGGGCTGTGCACAATAGAATTAATATAAAAAAACTAGCTGACCCGACAAACGTTGTTTTGCCATGTATATTATTTCTAAGAAGCATTGTTTTAGTTCAATAAAAATAACGGTCTACAATAATAAAAAATAGGGGTTAATCGTAGAGGGGTGAAAATTAGGGGTTGTATGTATTTTTGCATGCTGTATCATAAAAAATAAAAACATTTTTTTTAAATAAAACATTTTTTGGGGTGGACACCCCTTATCACTTAGGGGTTTTAAATATAGATAGTAGACGATTCTCATACTTACTGAATATGCATAAAAAATTAGAAGAAGAAGTTGAAATGACATGAAGTTTTCTATATAATATGTGCGCAATAAGTACTTGTTAATGAATTAATCTTCGTGAAGAACTAACAAATGGAGGCGTGTGTGTGTCTCAGAAAATTGATTGCCTAGTTGTCTACAAAGAAAAATATCAAGAAAATTGATCAAATATATTAATTTTGAATTTTGAATGGTTCAAAATATATTAATTTTTAATCAGAGCTTGAGATGTACAAATTTACAACCGTTCCTAACAATTTAAAAGTTCTGTTGCAATCTCCTCACGATTTTCTATAAAAAAAATGTAAATACATACTTAATATTTTATTATTATCGAAGCGATGAAGGCTACATTATTATTTTCAAGACTTTAAAGACCACGCGACAACAAGGAAATACAACGCCAAAACATAATACTTTAAAATATTCTAACATTTTTAAGAGAGTTTTTTCGTAGTTTTCACTAATGTCAAATGTTTTTAAAATAATACTTATATTGTGAGCACTATGTGAGTAAGCGTTTAACAACCCTGAGGTCTTGCGTACAAACCCGGCATTACACCAATGAAGTTTCTTTGTAACTAATGCATGGTCAGTGGAGAAATCTTTTGAGGGAACCAGCATGTCAGCTACCTAAACTAAACCAGTGTCAGACAAACAAGCTTGACCTAGGGAAGAGTATTAAAGCGCTAATGGATGTATGTGGTATAAGTACAATATATTATTAAAGTCCAAGGACGTAAACCGACCATATCGGGTGACGGGTTTTGACGCGAGTGATATTGGCTTTGATTTGTATGTAAATAACTTTCGCCTTTTCATTGGTTTTTTGTGGTACAGGGGGCAAACGGATAGGAGGCTCACCTAATTAAGTGATACCGCCACCCATGGACACTTTCAATGCCAGAGGGCTGGCGAGTGCGTTGCCGGGTTTTTTAAGAATTGGTACGTTTTTTTCTTGAAGGACCTTAGCTCGAATTGGTTCGGAAATACTTCAGTGGGCAGCTGGTTCCACATAGTGGTGGTGCGCGGCAGAAACTGCCTTAAAACGCTCTCGAAAAGCCTCCACGATCATTGCTGTTGTATCTTTTTAATGTTAAAATATAACCAGTTTTATAGTTTGAGTGAAATACGTTCCATTGTTAGTAATCTGAAGAGAACTATTTCATTTCGTAAAAGCAAATTTAGCTATATTTTTATGCGTAAGCTATCCAAGCTTAGGGAAATATTACTAAGAAGTCACAGGCACCTGAAATACAGTTTTCATTACAGGAGCCTAGAACACGGGCAGCTTGTTTTTCTAAGTAATCCGTGTATGGCAATACATTATTATTATTATTACGTTTTAGCGCAATCTGAACAGTATATGTTGACTGTCTTTTGAGAGCGAGACTCCTTTAAAAAAAGTATATAGGATAAGATATAAAAATAATGAAACATGATTTGATTTAGTTTTTTGCTCCTGTCACGGGATATCGAATAGCCTAAATAGTCTCATCCGTAAATTCTTTGATAAAGTAAAGACATTCATTAGCCTAATGGCTTTGTAGGAATGTTAATTATTTTAAATGCTCTATTTATTTATTCAAAGCGAAAGTCACCAAATAAAACATTCGTACACTGGTTATATTCGTTGCATACTTTAAATAGAATTTAAAAGTCGCGTTGGTAACTTTGAAGAAACTTACGTAACACATAATGAAGTGGAATCCGTTTCCTCTCTTCAAACAGGAAACAAATGAGTTCTTTATGTAGTATAATCTAGTTAGTTGTTGATAATTTCAGTTTAAAAGAAAGCGAAAAACAAATACAGGCTATGGTCGGTGCCATGCCCCAAGTAGATTTTGTTAAAGTTTTGCATTTAAGTAACAGTAGGACATCGATAGGAATACTACAAAAGATCTTTAATGACCTCGGAGTCCAGAGGGGACGATAGAACTTACACAATGCTACATGTAATACCACAGCTGCCGTTAAATCCAGGTGCCTGTCTGAATTGAACGTACCATTGTAAATACATACATAATTTCGGAGGACGGGCATGTTAAATATAATTAAATATAAGTACCTAGGATACTTTTGTAAGGGCTAGTTGATCTAGTTCTTAGGGTAGGAAATTAAACACTCCAATCATGACTTGATTCAGTTTAATTCACTTCACTGATTTTACGTAAACTCTATAACTTTAAACTTGAACAAAGGAATTGCCCGTGCGCATGTGTTACAACCTCTTTTATAATCTATTCCCTACTTCGACCCAACCATCCCACTCCGCGCAGTTGTTCGAGTCGATTCGGTTTCCTTTCGGATTCCAATCAAGCGCCTGCTTGGGAATATGATTGGGATCCCTTCGGAGTGTATGGCCTATCCAATTCCATTTGCGTCGCTTGATCTGCTGGATGATCGGGGTTTCTCGGCAGCTCGGAAGTTACTCATTTAGGGTTGTAGCTTATCTTAAACTACATTTTCCAGGTGCCAGTTACATTACCCCAGAGCCAATGTGCCCGGGTCGAGGGGATATATCTGCATCCGTGGACGACAGTGTGGCTGATTCCAAAGCCAAGATTGTTGAGCCTGATGAGAAACAGATACCACTGCTTCGGCTCCGAAATGGTGCTTTGCACGCTGGTCTTAATGAGAGATTGCATAGGATTGTTGCCATGAGGAAGGTATGTAAATTGTTTACTGTAAATAAATAAAACAATGTATGTAATTTTGTTCTTGAACTTTTTGGAGTATATAGCCGAAATAAATGTTTTTTTTTGGATTAAGTTTAAATTGTTTTTACGTACAAAAGATAAAATTTAATATTAGAAATTGTAATAATCAAAGTTCAAAGATACTTTATTTCTCAAAGAATTACATTCACTTAGCGCGAAAATTTAGGGTAAGTCAGTTACGTACATCGTGTTATGATTTTTTTTGAAAATAAAAATATTAGTTGCTAACAATATGTACAATATTTTTTACAAAAGTACAGGTAGGTCGCATCGATGTAACAACAGGCATGCGACGCTCGTTCAAAGTAAACAATGATTTCGTTCATATTATTTAACATTTGATGTTTATTATTAAAGTTTACCACATCGACAATTACGGTGCACATAAAATTTAGTGTAATAAAAATATTACACTTTCAACATAGAGATGATAAAAATGAATGTACCTATTTAAAAATACATATTGGCCTCATACTGATAAGTACCCGATAGGCTTAACAAAGATTTTTTTATTAATCCGGGTTGCCTCGTTAATACAATGTAATGTTTTCTTCCATTCTATCCAGATTAGTTACCGGGACTACCTAGTGTGGGGACTAGCGATAGATAAATTTTGTAACATATTTCAGTCATAAATAAAGTTTTATTTTATTTTAATAAACTATCTTTAACAGACTTTCCTATATACGTATTAACTTGCACTAATTAAACAAATACTAAAATTGCCACCGACGGCTTATACATAGTAGAAAATTACGTCGCATTGGGTCAAAAAAGGTTAACATTAATTAGTAATTATTATAATACGAATAAATTGATAAGTCTGCTCTGTTCCGTTTGTGTGACTAATAAAATCTATATCATTGATATTTTATCTTAATATAACTAATGATATTTGTACGAAGACTAAAAGCAATATAGAATTTACATGAAAAGTTAATGCATATGTTATTTCTTATCTATAGCCTTTGATGTCATATGGTAATTGTTTAAATCTTTTAATAGCATCATCAGCTTACACTAACCTTTACACCTTTGTAATCTATTATATTATTAATATTTGGCAATATATTCTTACGGCGTGGTTTGAATAAGTCCGTTTCATTTAAGGCAAGTAGGCTTAATTCATTAATGATAGCCGAGAGCTATGTAACCTTATGTTAATTAAGTTACATATATATATTTTAGTGAATAAATAGAAGCAAACTAAATGTTAGCCATCGTCGCACACATCGCACCAAAAACATAACATGAAGCCTCATAAATTGTATGTAATACAATTTTTTTTTCACTTTTATTGAAGTGTCACTTAGATTTATTACCCTTAGATGAGCCAAATTAGTTTTTGTTAGCGTCGCAACCCCACTACCCTTATATTAGACTAGCGGCCCGTCCTGCCTTCGCACGGGCGGACATTTATTTTTTAAAAAAAATTTGTAGATATTGATGTGTTCTTAAATATTGTGAACTTTTTCAATCATCAATCGTGTTGCAGCGCTTGCGATGATAGTATTATTACCCAATTAGATGAGCCTAATATTGATCAGTTATAATGTTAGCGTTCAAAAAGGGAAAAAAATTTTAAAATTAAATCAGGTCTTTTTGACCCAATTCGTCACAAACATATTTACATACAAATCTTTTTTAAACATCTCCATACGCCAATTTTTTTTTTTCCCGTGATCGGACAAATGACTGTCTGACCTATAGGCATTCATCCATACCCCTTTCTCTGAGTCCCTTGATATTTTTTAAAACAAATAGATGATCCGCCTCCTATGCGTATAAGTCCTATTTTACGGTTTATACTTTCGTAATAATCGTAACAACCGTAAAAAAATACATTAGGTAAAACCAAAAAAAAAAAAAACCCCCAAAAGGTTTTTTTTTTTTAAAAAAAATTAAAAGGCACCGGCGGACATTTTTTTGTTAAATTTTTTGTAATATTGATGTTTGTTCTTTAATATTGTGAAGACACATTTCCCCCCCTTCCCCCCGCGCCCTCGGGGCAGAAACATTGATTCTTGAACACGTTTTTTTAAGAAAGCAATTTTACTCATGGTTTTTTCAATCATCAATCGTTTTTGCAGCGCATGCGATGATAGATATTTATATAAGCAATTAAAATAGCCTAATATTGATCAGTGATAATGTAGCATTCAAATGGTGAAAGAATTTCTAATATCAATCCAGTACTTTTTGACCCAATTCGTCACAAACATATTTACATACAAATCTTTCCTTTAAACATCTCCATACGAACCAATTATTGTTTCCCCGTGATCGGACACATGACTGTCTGACCTATAGGCATTCATCTGACCCCTTTCTCTGAAGTCCATTGATATTTTTTAAAACAAATAGATGATCCGCCTCCTATGCGTATAAGTATTATTTTACGGTTTATACTTTCGTAATAATCGTAACAACCGTAAAATGAAATTAAACATTAGTGTAATCTCTAAGAATATAATTACTCCTATATAGCTTTGTTTCGTTATAAATAATTTAAAGGTACAACGTCTGAATTATTACGTTCGCGTGTCAAATTGTTTTGCTACAGTGTTACGTTTGTTATACAATCAATGATAAATATTGCTAATGTACATTTCAATTTGCGTGCGAGATAAATCATGATTCATGGTACAGAAACATTGATACTTGAACACGTTATTTCAAGAACGCACTTTACTCATAGATTGTTAAAGATGAGGGAGAGGGGGGGGGGGGGGGGGGCACTATATTTTGAGTAATAATTAATGTTTTGCCACGCTAAAATGTTTAAATTAAATTGGCGGGTCCCAAGCGTTTGCATGTTGTGAAATCTGTATTGCGCTTACGCCATTATTGTGCTCCATAGCGAAAAATGTTTATTACAATTTTAATATTACAAATATAATTGTAAAAAAAAAAAAAAAAAAACACAACTTAAAAAAGCAAAAGAAAAAAAATTAACATCCGATTTCTAAACTAAATGAATTATATTTAAACGTTAAATACAATGACTTTTTATTTGCAATGCCCCAAAAGGAAAAGAATTCCGCCAACTCGAAAATTTTACCAACGTGCATACTATTCTCCGCCCCCAAAAAAAACGCAAGAGAAAAAAACAAAAAAACGTCGCCGCACCCGCGTACAATTTCCAAGTGGTACGAGAAAAGTATCTTTTTCCGGATTTATTGAATAATATTTATTTCAATCTAAAACAAATACAGTTACAGCGAGGTTGGTCGTTAGCACATTGGTCGTTGACGAAAGGCAAAACCTCAAAGGACCACCAGGTGGAATATCCCAGGACTTTATAAGGCTTGGGACCAATGAAGTTGTGACTCAGGCTTACGTTTTCATGCTATTTCAAGGAAAACGGACTTTTTCAGCAGTGTACATTTTAAGATATAAATCATTTAAGTTACGACGTTGGGGTGGAGGTCATGGCATTGACGTTTGACGGTTGTGCAGCCAATGTAGCAACATCTGAAATTATATTGAAAATATATATATCCTCGTGCAATACCAAACGAGTGGGGTTTTTTTGATGCATGCATATGCCAAATACATTCCACCCAAAAAACAGCTGTTTAGTGAAGCTGGACGCGTTGCATGGTTGTACTTGTAAATCGAACTTCAAGAAACAGAAGGCTTCAATCGCAAACAAATTGACTGTACGTCATATTGCTTTCAGGAACCAAATAATGAAAGTCAACCTAGCAAGCCAATTACTAAGTAGAAGCGTAGTGAAAGCACTGACCTTATGCTCAGAGATGGTTACTGGACATAAGTTCAGCAATGTAGAACCAACTGTAGAATTTCTTGAAACTTTCAACGATTTGTTTGATGTCTTTAACTCAACAACCTATAAACAAGGATTTAAAAGATCGCTTGGGGAAAAAAAGAATTCAAAACATTAAATTTTCTTGACAAGGCAGAAAATTATATAAAGTCACTTAAAATCAATAACAATGAATAAAATAATTATTGCAAAAAAAAAAAAAAAAGGGATTTCTGGGTTTTAAAAAAACAAAAAGGGTTAAAAAACCTTGAACCGAAAAGGGGTCCAAAAAAAAAAAGGGAGGAATAACATGCCAACAAACAGGTTCAGTCAAACAAAAAAAGCCCCAAAAAAAAAAACACTTAGAACTTTTTTTTCGGACTAATAAGGCAACATGGCGGGCGCAATAATAACCCTACCACCGAACAATTCCGTGTCATATAAAAAAAGCACTCTGCCATCTAGAACTACGGAGCAGTTTCACGGGGAATTGAATTGCACATTTCAATTTTGGGTTGTTCATCAGCCCTTGAAAAAATAAATATGACCACGTCAGGATTGTGCAATACTGAATCTGACCCAACGACGAAGGCGTCACAATCTGCTGAAGATGAACAATGTGAAATAAATAGTGACATTCTCTCAAGAGTTTTAGATGAAGAAAATGTTATAAGCGATTTGTCAAAGCAAATTGTCGGATACATTTCAGGGTGGGTTGTTAAAAAATTGTGAAAAAAATTAAATGTCATACATGTTGCAGTGCGTTAATATCTGATCGACGATTAACCTTTCACAGATTAATTAATTTGAGAAACTTAGGTGGTTTGCTTTTTCCCACACAGGATGTATATGATATATGTATCAAAACTGAATCACTTTTGAAACTTCACAAAAAACTAAATGGCAATCATTATATACGTAATGAAAATGAGTATAAAGTTTTTCAAACTAAAATATTGAAATTGTTTATTGAATCGAATGTTTTTAATAATTTAAATGACCATTCTCTGGAGCAACCGGCAACTTGGAACCATAAAGTTCTATTGATAAAATCTGTTATCAAATACTACGCTGGTGTACGCCTTCATTATCTTCATAATGTTATTGTGTTAATAAAATAACAAAAAGGCAAAAGTATAATAAATTGATTTTGTTTCAAGGAGAATAAATAGCCATTATTAGTAAATTATAGTGTTTTTTACTTGATCACGCCTCTACATTTAAATATACAGTCTACCTACTATGTAAAAAAAATATATATAATAAATAAAATATATAATAAAAAAGATTAATGGTTTGCGGACCGTACCTTCTACACAAATTGCACTGTTTTTGGACGCCATGTTGACGCACACATTCAAACGTTTTCGATTTCAACCTATTACAAGGGCAGAAACACGATTTTTAAACTACTCATTAGTGTGCGTGTGTCGGCATTTTGTTAACGCACACATTCAAAAACAATGCCACAGTTTTTGGTGTCGGGGCCTATCTAACGATATAAATCCATGACTTTACTCATTTGTAGACACTTATTTTGAAGTAATAATAATGTTTTGCCATAAAATGTTTAAATTAAATGCGTCCCAAGCGTTTGATGTTGTGAAATCTGTATTGCAGGAGCTTGCGCCATTGAATTGTGTAGCGATAGAAAATGTTTATTACAATTTTAATATTACAAATATAATTGACAACTAGAAAGCAAGTTAACATCCGATTTCTACTAATGAATTCTATTTAAACGTTAATACGATGTTTCTGACAGCACGGCCGGATCTTTTTATTTATTGATATAATATTTATTTCCTACAAATTAAGTTATAACATATATCCCAGGCTCCCGATGTAGTGAGTGTATTTCAGGAGTGACTTGCAGTTACATTTTATAAATCATAAGTCGCTTATCTGAAATTATATATGAAAATATATATATGTGTATACATATATGAAAATCTTTACAGCTGTTTTGGAATCGTAAAGAGCCAAAACTGTTTACATAACCTAGGTATTTGTTTTTTGAATAAAAAAAAATCGACATTTTAAGCTTATATCTAATAACCATTAATAAAATATATTAGAACATTGTAAACATTGTGTCGTTTGACAACCATAAAAGGGGGAAGAGTTTTCATGATTACGTTCAATTATTACGTAAGCAGATTGACTGCAATTTATCCCCTCCCCCAACCTTTATCTTGTCAGCAAAATTAAGCAAAGCTCTCAAAAATAATAGTACAATAAATGTACATAAACGTATTAATTTTTTGTAGAAATCCTCGAAAATGCATTTCGTTTTCAAGCATAGACAATGTGTGTATAATAATAATAAGAAAATCAAAGACCCCCCTCCCCCCTACAGTGCTTACGTAATTCTTGAACATACATATCTGTGATAACATTATAGCTGTTTTATACAGGAAGTAGAGAACAAACGAAAAACATCGTCTCTACAACGCAACGTAGTGTACCCGCTGGCTATGTTGTTGCTCCTGGCCCTCACCGCGATTACAGTTTTAATGGTGCTGCAGAACACGCTCGAACTGCTCATAGGCATTAAGGCATTACCTCTAAGCACACGGGTAAGTTAATATAACATTATAAAGTGGTTAAGTTTTTTTGAGAGTCATATGTGGAACTATTTTTTATTTGCGTGTTGTTCCCACGAGAATGTAAGTGCGTGCTCCTATTTTACCATGCCGCCTGCTGATAGAGGACAAATCTTTGTTTTTTTATGTTATTATTATTAATTATTTAAAATGTCATGTGGAACATGGTGTAATGGTTGCAGCTCCTTACAAACATTGTGTAAATCAAAAGCTTGGCGATTAAAAAGAGTGGCGGAGAGTTAATTGCCAGTTCTTCTCTTCCGTTCTACGCCCTTGATTTGAGAACTGGAAGAAAACGTAAAATTAGAAGCATTTAATATGTATTCCTTTTTGACGTTCATAAGTGTACATTTTGTTACCTAAATTAATAAATGATTTGGATTTGATTTGATTCAAGTGTTTTGGTAAAATTAATTAGCCATTTAGACAAAATATCTAAAGAACTTGAAATTCTATCACACTGGCCATATTTTGTTCTGTGTTTTGTCTTTGCAGTTTTTTATAGTAACATTTAGAATCGAGACTTAGCACGTACTTTGACTCCCATATGTCAAAATCCGATAATCATATTTAACGCTTACTTAAGTTAAGTCTTGTCTCTGAATCTTTGGGTTAGCCTCTTCCTATAAAATGTTCAATTTGAGTCTCGATACACAATTATATAAATAAATAGTATTCCATAGTAATAAGTGAATGCAAAGCTGTTTGCGTAAAACAAGTTTCAATTACATTTTCATTTGAAATTTTTGACCGAGACCTTGAATAAAATTGTTATTTTTTGTATATATATATAAAATTTGTCAAATCGTAAACCTCCTTCTACGGGTTTCCAGAAGTCGGGTAACAATAAGTAAAGGAATTTATAGTAGAATGGTGGAAAGACAAATACATAGTTTTTCTGTCCACCAGGACTTCGAACGAATTACAACTAAATAACCAATGATAATATGTTCTGTTCTGTTATGTGGGTACATTATAAGCAACCCACTGAGAAAATATTGCCACACAAAATTCAGTTCCTTATTGTTCAGTCCATGCAATTTTTGGAATTGCATTAACGTTTCAAATTTCTGTTTAATAATCGGTAATATTTATCGACATGTGGGATATACAAGGCAATCGTGGACGGTGAAGTCAGGTTGGGTAGGCCTTTTCGGGCATATCTAGGCCAAATCCAGGAGGCACTAGAGAAGGGACATGTTAAAAGTACCCATAACCAACGAGCATGTATGGTAAATGTCATGAAAGTGGGTGATGCAAGAGAGGTATGTCTGGACCGTAGCAAGTGGAGATTCGAGGTCTCTGCCTACTCCTTCGGGATAAGTCGTGAAGAAATAAATAAATATTCATTTATCTTGGTGCCTTGTAAATCTATCCTACCTACTTTCCATTTACAGGGGTGATTTAGTTTGTAATATAAAAGAGTTTTAATGTTAATAATTAAAATATTTATTTTATATTACAGCAATTCACGTTAGGGATCGCGTCGCTATCTAAATTAGGATGGGCGGGAGCTACACTAGAGGCATTCCTAATACTATATCTACACGCGGCGTCGCTAACGGGGCTCTGTACCCCCATGAGGGCGTTAAGGGTTCTACCACGTGCAAGAAGAACGCCCCTAACAAGAATAATAGCTCTCTGTGCTGTGTTATTAGCGCATTCAACGGCCCAGCCGTTGCTTGTTAAAATACTTGGTAAGTGATACAAGATGGTATATGGTTTATTATGAATTCGATGCTTTAAAATTATTTCGATACAAAAATAAGTGCTAAAATTCTTTGAGTTACCTCGACTTTGTATGGAAGGTCTTTACTGCTTAAATATTATTAAGAAATTAATGGAGACATTTATCATTCGTTTAAAAGATCACAGAATATTGCTTATTATAAAAAAATTCTATCTCAATAGGTTCGATTTCCCTGGTTAACGAAATTATTATGATAAGTACGATATTTCAAATCTACTTACAATGGAAAATACTAGTTCGAGTATAGTATTTCCCTTGAAAACTTCAATATGTATAAATATTATATTTTTAATGCGATACATAACTTTTGCAGATTTAGAAGAGTCTATCCAAACACTCAAAAAGAAAACGAAATAGAAATATTTTAAAACTATTATTTATTTAATTTCCTTAGGTATAACAAACTTCGATTTGCTCGGCGAATTTGGTCGAATCGAATGGCTGGGCAGCTTCAAGTTAGTGTTGTTATACAACGCCATATTCGCATCAACAGCCAGTCTTTGTCTCATCAACAAGTTCACCGCCAGCGTTCGAAGGGAACTATACAACAGGTTGGTCGAAAATGTCCATACGGTTGCGCATTGCGTGTCTTTCCTTAGTAATTAAACGATATGCCATATCACAGATTATGTTAACATTAGGGTAACATAAACAATAGTAACTTAGCCCTATGGACTCCAGTGTGTCAAATTGTTTTTGACATATAAGAGTCATACTTAGCGCTTAATCTCGAATTTTACCTTTAATATATATCTGCCACGAAATGCTTTTCAGTGTGAAACGGATTCCCTCAGACAAATTAATTTAATAGCTAAAAACTTAAAATAACGCACGGCTGAGTTAGACTAAAAATCTTTGTTTCCGTTGAAACTGTGTTTCCAGTTTTTATTTACGTATTACGTAATTCCATTGTTTAAAACTTCAATGCGGCTTATGTCTGTTTTGTTGATTTGTGCATAGCAACCCAAATCATGGTTTTGACAGGAATTAGACCAATAATACGACGAAGTAAAGGAATTTAGTCTAATTTAATCTTACCCCTCTAATATTCAAAATAAGACCTCAAAAAACACATGTATAAATAATAAACAAACTTCAACTTTGTCCTACCAACGTTGTCTAAAAATGCATTTGTAAAAGCTTTCTGGCATGTGCAGAAATGGGCTTTAGATATTGTTTGATGGACTGTTCTTGTATAAAATTTGTGGATTGTTATTAGACACCACGTGATGTAATTATTATTGATGTAGGAAATTGGTTTAACTTCGCCAAAGATACATTTTATAAAGCAAATGAAATTTTATGATTTAACATTTTTTTAGTATGAAATTCATATAGATAAATTCAGGTTTGGTTATCTTGCATAGGTACATTTAACCATTTAACGATAAGCCATTTGAATGTTACCAAAATTTTCAAATAATTTGGGCCTAACAATCGCCGTATTCGAATAAAGTATGACTATTTCGATATACTATTAGTATCTTGAATGCCATAATTTTAAATAAGTTTTTTCTACTTTATGAATTATTATAGAAATTATTTTCAATATTTAATATAATATAGATTTTAGAATCTTGCGCATTTATTTAAGTTATAAAAGCATGGGTATTGAGGAAAGACACAATTATCTTTAATTTTATTACCAATGAGACTGAATTCGTTAACTAGTTACAATAAATTCGAGATTATTTATTTTGTGTTAATTTAAATTCGTATTGTGGTTGTTTGAATGTAATTGGTTTATTTTAAATTTGACATTAGATAATTGTTTAAGACTGCTATAGTTTTGCTCATCTATTTATAATGTGTATATAACATATCATCTCCATTTTAACTTTAATATCATTATGAATGTGTTAATTTCATGCTTTGCTTAATTCATGATTTGAATACAAAATATTGCTGTCTACCTTATTAATGTCATACGAGAGAAACATAGTAATTTTACTTTGATTCCATAGTTATTCATATCAAATAATGTGCTAATAATTACTAGACATACACATTTCGTCATTAGAACATGCATGTTTAAGTGTTTCATAGAAACTTTCATTGTTACATAGAAACATAGAGGCTCGATAGAAATTTCTAGTCGATAGATCTCCTGAAGCAACTTTCAAATTAAAGTGCCTCTCTGTATGTGTCACTTATTGCGATTTGAGTAAGAATATACATACTAGCACAGAATGCCTTTGATAATGAAAATCACACTGCCTCGTATTAATTAGCATTTGAAATAAAATTGACTGAATATTAAAACGAGAATCAGAAATCCCTTGGCTCTATCATATATAGAGTAATTCTAATGATTCTCGCTTATCTATACGGTCATTATGTATAAGTTGTTATGTAGGTTCAGCAGTTTAAAAATCTAGAATTAATGATTATATTCAGTCAGTTGTACTATAACTTCTAAGTTACAAGTAAGGTTAAATATAAATAAACTCTTGACATTTTCCTAAATCGAAGTTATGTCACGGAATAGCCAATTAATGTAGAGTTTAGCCACATAGAAATGTTCAAAGTTTAAAGATAATTTGTAATTTCCTATATCAAATATTATGCTTCAAATGTTGAAATTGTGTTTGTGGTGCTAGAATTTAACTAAAAATAGTAAAACCACAATAAATTATATTAGTTAATGTAACTTAGATTAGTTTTGTGTGCGCATTTAAATGAAATATACGAATTTTATACCTTTGTATTATCCTGTACCAAATGTTGAGATTGCATTTGAAATAATATATTATTAAAATTATCTTTGTCTTTTATTTGCACACTCCTTTGAAAATAAAGAAATGTTTATAAGTATTTATAAGATTCGAGTTTGTATTATATTTCTCTAAATTCATTAAACTGCTATGTAAAAAATTGCAAGGACTGGTTACTAAAACATCATACAACAATTAAAAAAATTACCACCATTAAAATTTAACAAATTCATTATTTAATGTGTAAATAACAATCCTAACATTGAAAAAATTGGCTTTAATTAATTATTGTAACTATTAAACTATTCAGTCAAATTCTACCTACATTCAATTATTTTATTGCAGAATGAGGCATTTGAAAATTTTAAATTCAGTATCAGGAGACAAAGAAACACTTCATTTAGTTAGCATAAATATCTTTTTCAGATTTAAATGGATCACTGATTTTTTCACTGCACCTGAGACTCAACTACACAGAATCTCTAATACTTCAAGACTATCCATGGATTGGTCAGTTAATGAAAAAACTAAAACTAATTCAGACCCAAAACCCAAATCTCAATAAGTAATACAAACTTGCATCAAGTTATTATATATGCATATAATTGTAAGGCTAATGTTATAACTGCAAGACTGTAGTACATAAATATTATGTGATTTGTAAATAAAAGTAATTTTTTTAGAATAAAATAAAAATTCACTCAAAATTTGCTTTATTTTCCTTAACATCTATACTTTCAATTTCCATATAATGTTTTCCACATTTTCTTCCTTGGGCCTTAAGAATAAGTTGACGCACATTATTTCTTATTGCTTTTACACTTTCGTTACTATTTAGCCCAAAAATAAAACCAAGATTGATAATATCATGAACACTTCTTGTTTGTATGGGAGTTAGAGCAGAACTTGTGATAATAATATTCCTTGATTTCCCAACAGCATGGTAGTTATGGGCAGTGCTTATAATGTTTTTCCTTGCAGAAGAATCTTTTATAGCAGGAGCATACATCAATTCAAAAAATATACCTCGTTCAACAGCTTGCCGGTATAGCTTTCGACTAATTTTATATGGTATTCTACTTTCTGGCTCAAATGTTATAATATCTACATCTAGTGTGCCACATGCATACTGAAAAGCTTGTAAAGTTTTAGGAATCACTGCAATTATGTCATATTTTTTTAAATTTTCTGAGCTATTCATCTTAATAGCAACACTGGAATCTGAAAATCCTATAGTTATTCTTTGCAATATGTTGAGATTTCCCTTCCCTTCATTGGAGATATCTATAGGGGGAGGAATAAAATCTTTTTTTTTCCTTGATTTCACCCTTTCGTTTCTTTTTCTTGGGTTCTTCATCAGTTTCTTCTACATATGAGTTAATAGCTATGGTGTTAAATCCAAGTCTTTCAAAAAGATAGTACTTTTTACTATCATATTCTTTACTAACTGATAAATCGCTGAAACCCCAATTTTGAAAGTTCATGCTTGATTCGATGGGCCAAATTTTATAGGTTAGAATTTATGTTGATAGTACGGTATTATTTGTAAAATAGTATAAATGCCAAGATATATTTATTAACCAGTCTTAAAATATATTATTTTACTATTAAACTACAATATTGTACTAAAAAATATTTTAGATTAATTTGTTAATGTTTACAAACATTAACAACCATTTAATCTTACAGTGTCACTAATGTATATTAAATATTTATACTGTCACTTAGCAGTCACGTGTGCTGTCAGCTGTGTGACTCTCGACCAGCCAGTGACTAGCGAGTAGCTAGTGTGGCGGCATGCAAAGACATCTTGTTACCAGATACAATTTATACCTTTCTAAATAAAATATTTACACGTCCAAATAAAATATTTTATGGACGTGTGATTCTCTGACATCAACAGATTTTCTTCATAAATGGTCTAATCAGTAGATGGAATTTGAAATCGAAATTTAAATCGTAACAAAATGTTTTGTCCAAGAATTGACAATAATAGACGTAAACATCGTCACCTGCTACAACAATAAAAATATTCTTATTTATTATATAGTTACGTATTCAAATTTTAAATAATTATAATGGTTGTACGAATTGTAATAGCTGGTGAATCACAGTGTAAAGCGTTTGCTGAAATATGCCTCGTGGCAGATCATTTATCAAAAAAATTACCTGATTTTCGCTATGAGCGTATAGAAAAACCAGTATTGGAGTGGAATGTATGTTAAAAGATTAACCTTTTTTATTTAAACCTAATATTATTTATTAAATTATGAATTATTATATTATTTGACTTTAAAGGCTTGGATGTACAAAATAAATCAGAAAAATAAATGGCATCATAGTGGCTCACCCCTTGTTTGGAAAGAATTATTGGCAACAGGCAGTAAGCCCTTTTATATCGGAGGCGGACCAGAGTTTTTAGATTATTGCTACTCTTATTACAAATTTGATGTTTTCATGGCGCCTGCGAGATATGAAAATTTAGTTTTAAACTACAGACAATACAACAAAAAAATAAAACAGGAATCTAAATTTCATATTGATGTCGAATTTGAAATGGAAGAAGACACTGTAAAAAACACTTTTAGTGTATGTATATCTGGATCCGGAAATCCAATCACTATGCATTTGATATCTGAGTTATTAGAATTGAGTTCTAGCGAAAAGGGTATTTATAAAGTTTATATATACGACCACCGGTGCTCTTCATCTTTTATGGAATTAGTTGAACGTGAATGTAGTTTCATCGAGACCAATTACGCAGCAAAAGTAGTCAAATACGTAGACAAAATTGGCCTGGCCCTTACTAATACGGATGTTTTAATAATACTTGATCATGTTCCGTTCAGGTAACCAATTTGGATTAAACAAAACGGTCAATGATATTATGTAATTCATTAAATTACATTATTATTCAATATTTATTACATAGAAATTTTAAATGTTTTCAGTCCAGAACAATCTATTGGGGGATGGTTATACGAAAACAAAAAAATTATGCAAAACATTGCTCAAATGATAAATGCATCAGCATCATCAAAAATGAAAATAATTCTACCCAATTTGGGCCCAGCTTGTTACAATGCTACAGTTTTATCAGAATCACTAACACATATCAGTAAACATAACATAGTAATTGCTACATCAGATTTAGGAATGGAAGTTACACCTATTATTGCAAAAATTGCTGAAATTCCTATGAGAAATATGTTTTGCCCACCAGTTTGGGGTTTCGTTGGAGTCAATCATTTAGTAGATATAAATAATTCAATTCATAAATACAATGAATTTTACCCTTTTAATAGATATAAAAAAGTTAAAAATTCTAGTTTGTGTATTGGCTCATTAACGCCACAAATGAGAACTATAGAATATTTAATATTCTTCGATGAATCCTTGTGGATAAAAGTTGCAGAAGAAAAGGTAAATCCGTTATTTTTTGTTTGTTTTGACGTTGATAGATATTAAAGTCATACTAAACTATTATAATATTGACACTACCCAAATTTTATTTTTAGACAAAGTCTATAGATAGTGCATGCCTTAATAAAAGCATAGCGATTTTAGATTTACTTAAATCATGGCTGGTTGACGAAAATCCCGAAGAAATTATAACTCTTGGTGTTCATTGTGATGGCAAGTATACCGAAACTGTTCATATATAATTAACGTTTGTTTTCTTTATGTACAAGCTGTGTCCTTATTATAGGGTCATTTGGATTGGACTTTGATGGTTACTTCTCTCAGCCATGCCGCCTTAGTAATGGAAAATGGAGACCTTTTAAGAATTATATGTTACCGAAAACGCCACATATGACTCTTTCTTACTTATTAAGTATGGCTAAGTTTACGATGACATTAGAAAAAAATGATTTACCTAGGATTATTCCAAGAAAAATTTGTATTTGTAAACGAAAACAGTATGTCAAAAAGAATGTGTGGTATTAGAGTTAGTTAATCCGATGAATAAAGCATTGCGACTGGAATATGATTTAGAGATTTTCGTTTGTATTTGATGGTATTTTAATGTCTAGAATTTTTTTTTATGGACATGTGAAAAATCTTGTTCAAACGTTTATTTTATATTTAAAATTAAATTTAGTATTTAATGAGTTTGAAGCTAGCAATATTATTTACGTTCTCAAGTCAACCATAGGCTAACTATATAATTATAGTAGTTCCGTAGTCTGTGGGTTGTCACAATAGGTCTGTCAACGTTGACTTTTGAAAGCATTCAAACCGTAAACGTCAAACGTCAATTACTATCGAGTGTAAAGTTTGTAATGTTAAATGTTGATGTGTGATCGTTGAGTATTCGCGAAGATCGTACTTTTGTGTTTTGAGGAGAGATGTTATGACGAGTCTTTGTTTTCTGAACATCTGATTTTCTATTTAAAAGAAAATTGTTATTGCTCGCACGTAGAAATACGCTGCGATTCTAATTCAATGTATTTTTCCAAAGCATGATCGTGCCAATAGGTGTTATTGCAATATTTAGGTGTTTATATTGTTTAAGCTGTGTGAATTTCGTATTAATAATGAGATAGTGGAGTGTCGTGATGTGGTTGTGGAACATGTGGGGAGCCCTGTGGACCCTGGAGGTACTGTCCCTGGTCGGAGGAGGCGCTGCGTCACCAATGGACCCTGGGTTACCAATGTCGCGAGGTGAGAAGGCCACCCACACAATCGAAAGCTTGCCCGCTCGCATGACCACAGCTTCATTATGCTTACGTTTCCATATAAATTTTAAAACATGTCTTTTGTTCCTACATTATGAAAGTTTTATTAAAGTTTTTAATATTATTATTTTTTCTCTTTTTTTTATAGAAGTGAAAAAGTTACTTAAATTTGAGTTAAAATAGTGCGTAGATGCCTCAGATTGGGTATTAAATTTTCATTCATATTGACATACCAAATGTACGGTATATAGTTACTTATCTAAAGCTTTACAAAAAGTTTATCAAAATTATTTAGAACTCAAAATATTTTCCTTAATCCCAAGTTAATGTTAAATAAGAAATATTTGACTTTATAGTGGATTTCAATGTGTATTTAAAAATAAAGGAAAGTTTTTAAATACTATTAGTTGAATTGTTGTACTCTGTTAATTAACTTATTAGAAGCCTTTTGACATTATTTTTAGATATCTAAAAGTAGAATACATATATAACAATATTATTAATTAAATTAAACATTATCAATTATGTTGTGAAAATTACAATATGAAGATATTAATTGTAAAATCAATAATAAGAACTTAAAACTTTAAGTGAAACTATATTTTTCTTTATTCAAGAGCTTTTCATAATATACTCCTAAATAAAAAATTACGTATATGTAAGTTTTATTTTATTCATTTAATAAACCAGAAGAAATGGTTAAAATGTTTACATTTTAATGACAGTCAAGAAGAGACAGTAAAAAAGGTCGACAGAATAAAAATATTCACAACTACCTTGTTTCACTACTTTGAAAAAAATAGGGTATTTTAGCCCATATTTATATAGCTAGAAATAAGTAATGTATGTGTTTAATAGAAATCCTTTGTTTTGTATGTCATTTTGAACACAAACGGGGCCTAGAGCAAACACATTGGTTGATATTTGTTTGATCTTTGTTGTGTCAAAGTAACAATTAAACTAAAACAACTAAATTAGGTCTTATTTTACCGTAAATCAATCCTAGAACCAAGAAAACATATTAATTGTTGGTTACTAAGTTAAAGGTTTTTGATTGCTAAAGAAACTACTTTAAAATTGAGATATTGTTTTAGATTTCTAAACTAGTCCTTTGTTTTCACTCGCGTCATTAGTAGCGTGATGTTATATTGCATATAGGCTTCCTCAATTATATTCACTATTTTGTCATGTCGCATGTCAACGTGTATTGGTCTAGAGATTCCGTTAACCTGTCACAATCCAACGTGACGCATTTTTTTTTATTTAAATAGAAACTACATATCTTGTCCTGAATATTACAAACAGAAAAGAAATATAATTTTCCAGTCTATCATTACTAATATTTCAAACTAATGGGAATGCTAGATTACTAGTGACTGATGACCGAGTTACAGGCTCAGCCACAAATCCCTACAAATTGCTGCAAGGAACGATAATCTGACAGCTATCGAAGGTTAAACCCATCCCGGATGCCGCTACGGGAACGGAATGTTCTCATTTTCTTTTAATCGAACCACATTAGCCGACACGTATTTCAATTTGTTACGGAAACTATTTTGAAAGCTTTTAATAAGATTTAGGATATACTGTTTAAGCTTTGAAGCATTTTCATATACTGAAATTTACGTATAAAATAATTCGTCGTTATATAATCTGTACTGGAAAGATTTTTACGTAAGTCTCTGCAAAATAGACACCTGTATGTGCATAAACCGTTTGACACACATGGTATGTAATCTCCGGTCTGGGGTCCTGGTAATAACGAATTTGTGGAGAACTACGGATCTATATGAGTTTTAGGACTGTGTGCAGTTTAGTAATATACTATGAACTAGACTTTGGATATGTACTATTGCAAAAAAAGAAATTATTTTTCTGATTTGACAGTTTCTCTCGAACCTCGACGACAAGATCAGTGAATAAAACATAATGTAAACGTTGTTTTTTAATTTTCCAAAAATATACAGGGTTGGAGAGAACCCAGTGGTGCATCTGAGTGCGACATTATTTATATTCCCATCTCGCATTGCATGCCGTTGGGACGGCTACATATTCGCGCAAGCTCTTAATGAATGTTACATAAGCAACTCCAAACTTACATGGGAAGCAGCTCAGACAGTTTGTGAATTAATCTCTTTGATACTCAACTAAAGGGAATTAGCCAATTTTACGTTCTGCATTGAATTTATCGCTGCTATCTGTGGTTTATTATATACCACCACAATTCCTTCTTTCTTGTTTATGATCTTTTTGGATTCAATTGTGAAGTAAGCGACATTGCTACGCGAAGGTGGCATAAAGGATGATTCACGCTACACCGTGTCTCGACCGGGCCGTGCCCCGGCCGGGGCACGGTCTAACATTAATGATATACTTTTGTATGAAGTAATTAATGCCTAACCGTGGCTCGGCCGTGCCCTTACCGTGCGCCGCCGGGACTCGGCCGGGGCACGGCGTTGTAATGTAATGTCGGTGGGTATTGTTTCCCGGCTCCGGCACGGTCCGGCCCCGACACGTCGTAACATGAACGTAGGCGCCCGGCCACACGCAGAGCAGATTATTAGAATGTGTACGCAAGTACCCTGTGATTTACGACATGAGCCATCCTAAGTATTTAGATAACAAATACAAAAATATTATATGGAAAACCATTTCGGACGAAATAATCCGATGGGAGATATAGGCTTTTGAAATCTTGTAATTTTTTTGGTTAGATCTAAATAAAGAGAATTTTATTCGTTATCTCAAGGATTTTACAATAGCTGATAAGTGATTGGGACCTCCTTTTAAGCGCATAAGCACTTGTGTTAGGAGAACCCGCTCTTCTAATTCATAGGTGTACCAACTAATTATAATTTAATTTAACACGTATAGCTAAGCTAAGTATTACAATTTTACAATTTACTAAACATAATCTAAGGTTAAAATGTGAATAATGATATATGTGTGTATGTGTATGTGTGTGTGTGTGTGTTTGTGTGTTTATGAGAATGAATTTTCATGACTGATTGTAGAAGTTGACTAATTACTAGTGTATTATGATTCATGATTACCTACAAAGGCTTCAGTGTCTTCATAGCTAAATGTTTCTAGGATGTTAAGTAGCGACGTTTTACATTCATGTTTATTCAATGTGTATATATTTAATATTTTATTTAATTTATTATAAAGTTTAGCAGCTTGGCATTGAAATTGTCTCATAGCAAAAACTGATTTAGATCTCTCAACAGGAGCAACAGTATATTTGCGTCTTTTGCTCAGTTTGCGACCATCATATTTAAGAGACTTGTGCAATCTTAAGGTAGTGCAAAAAATGTACAGTTGCCTGACCGATAAGACACCACAAGAGGCATAAAGATCAGAGGTGGAAAATCTATAAGGCTTAAACATCATTACTTTTAGTAAAATTCTTTGTGCCCTCTCCAGATCCAGGAACTTCATCTTTGTAGCACCCCCAAACTGGGATACAGTACACTAAAATTGACTGAGCCAGCGATGTGTATATCTGTATTAGTAGATGTTTGTCAGCGATGTGCCTTAGAGTTTTAAATGTCCAAATAAGCTTTCGAATCCTACTTATAACTTGTTCTAGGTGCTCATGCCATGACATTCTTTGATCAACTACCACTCCTAGATATTTAGTGTGATGAACTTTATTTATAGTTTTACATGTACAGTTTACTCTGGTGCTACAGTTATGTATTTTTATTTCTAGATCTGTTTGAGGTTGGGCGCTATTGTATTTAGTGAAGAAAATGTAGTTAGTTTTACTTACGTTTAATGATAATAAGTTTTCTCTTAACCAGTTATCTATTTTGGAAAGCCCTATTTCTGTATGTCGACGCACCGAGTCAATAGTTTTCCCAGTGAAGACAACAGCAGTGTCATCCGCGTAGGAGTAGACTTTCCCACTATCAATTCTTAAATCGCATAAGCTGTTTATGTAGATTAAGAATAAGGTCGGCCCCAGAACACTACCTTGTGGGACCCCATATGTGACGTCAGATTGTTCGCTGATGTATTGACCGCTGTTCACTGAGGTAATCAGCGAACAATGTGAGTGGAATACCCCTAATACCAATGTTCTCTAGTCTCTGCACCAGAATAGGGACAGAAACCGTATCAAATGCCTTTTTTAAGTCGATAAAAACTGTGATACATTTATTACCTTTATCAACTTCATTAACAATATGACAAGATAGTGAGGTAACTGCATCTTCGGTTGACAGACCCTGTCTAAAACCGAATTGTGAGTCCGAAAGTAGACTA